GCTGCAGTAGTTGCTGCCTTTGCTGCTACTGTTGTTGCTGCTGATAATACTGGAGGTGATCTGAGACTATAGACATTAAAAACATAGGAGATATATATGAGCTGATGAAACAATTTTTGTGTGACCATGACAAGATGTAAAAATTGTTGACAGTGTTTGGAACTGGCTGACTGTGACTGACCTGCTGTAGTGCTGCAGCTGCTGCCCAGGCTGACTGCTTCAAGAAAATAAGAGGGAGATGCTCACAGAGACTGCAGCACACCAAGAGCTGCAGGTAGAAAAAAAGAAGATACCAGATTCAAGTGTGGAAAATAATATAAGAAGGAAACATAAGTGGGGGAAAGGATGAGGTCGGCCATGGCAGGGGTATGAGTGAGACAGAGAAAAAAAAAAATCGACAGAGGTGTGGGTGGGTGGGTGTGTGCGTGTTGCTTGCGTGTCTACAGTATGCAATATCGTAATCATGATTTTCTATAATGCATTGTGAGATATATCTGGATTTGATGATTTATATGTCTAATCGAAAATCTAGATAAAGAAACTAAAATGGGTGTGTGTTTATTCTGTTGGCCCCCACTAAACATCACAGGGTAGCATTAATGTTACCGGTAAGTGGAGGAGGAGGAGTTCTAGGCATTTATAACAGCAATTTCCTGTTTGCTATCTCACTAAAAATGTTTGTCATTTATTGGAGCGTTCTTCTCGATGGCCAACAGAGGAAGACCTTCATTTCTGTCTGCAATTTGTCGTGTTCTAGAACTGGCACAGTTTCTTCACAGCGTGGAGTGCTGCTGTTGGAATGCTTGTTGTTTTCCAGTTCTCAAGGACTGGCAGGCAATGGAAGGGATGTACAAGTTCCCATATGGAATTACCTCCTGCTATAAAGCATCTCTGAAGCTCTTGTATCATTGAGCTGAATGTGTTCCACCTCACCATACCACACGTGAGCCTCTGAGGCACAGTGTTCATTCATTTTTTCTAAAGCCTTTCTCCAGCAATTTAACCCTACAGTTTTACAGTTTTTATGATGCTTGTATTTTTCATCATTTAAAAAAACAAAACAAAACCTGGCATCAGTGCTAGGAGAACATTCAAGCCATGGGTAATTCTTATACTACTTCTTCTGAAATGACCATCCCTCTACATTCTTTGTAAATGACATTACTGGTTGGCAGGGTATAGATAATATTATCACAAATTCGGATAAAGGCATCATTGTACTTTATGTTGAATTGTAAGACGTGAGCGGGGTCAGTTGGTTGTTGTAGTCCAAGTAGGTTTGAGAATGGCCCCTCTCTGGCTTCTGCCGGCTTGCTTCTTCCTGAACTCCTTCTGTTGCTTGTGCCTCAATATTTCTTTCTTTCTCTGCTGGCACACACTAAGGGACATGTCATACCTTTTCCTGAAATCTACTAGGGCCATCTCTCGTTTGTACGGAAGCCTATTGCATTCACTTGAGAAAAAAAAATCATTTTTTTCTGAATTAACGAGTTAATCATCTCAGAATTATGATACATTTTTCCTGAAATAAAATTGTTTTTCTCCGTTTTTCTGAATTAATGAGTTAATTATTTCATATGAGATAAGTTTTCATGAAAAAAAAATATTAGGCTCTGTTTTTCTGAATTAATGAGATCCCTCAAAATCCTGCCAGAAGCTCTCACCTGTATGAAGTAACGCCACGGTTGCTGATGCTAATCAGCCTGACCCTCCAACAACAACAACAGTGCCAGGCCTATGGGTTCAATGCAGGTAAGCTATCTAAGATATTATAGTTACATGTTAATGCCAAATGATGTCTGCTAACTGTTTGGTTGACGACATGTAAAACAAGTTTAGTAAAAGCTGTTTAAGCAATAGCTCACGACAGGCCGTGGTATACGCTTATTATATCACAGTTAAGGGGCGTTAATTAATTGTGATATAATAAGCGTATATCACAGAATGAAGTGAGCCATTGCTTTTATAAAACAGTTACTAAGTATGTCAATAAGAAAGCAGACTAAAAGACGCACTACAATTTGACTTTATTTCATCAACAGACATTTCTTTATGAATACAAAAAGTAGTTCCACCAGGGTGCTGGTAGGTTGCACAACGGTTGATAAGCAACATAAATATAAGGCTAGAATTATTAGAACTATTATATTTATTTGCACGTTGCTGTTTGTTGTGCAGCCACTAAAAACTGTCCAGCATCAGTAGATTGACTTTGTTAACTTGAACTTATATATGATAATATGCTTGCTACTGTGTGCCGGCGGCCAGTAGTGTGTAAAATAGAGAGCCTAAGTCACTCACTTACGCTTCTGGCTCATGGGACCTTATTTTGGAAAAATGATGTACAGTAGTCAATGGCGAGAGACAATTTATCTTTTTATCCCATTAGATTTGAACCCTGAATTACACATATGATGTTGGTCAAGAAAGTCGCACTTTGTTGTAAAACAGTAAAGTTACATGTCGTTTTGTGTGAAACCACTCAATGAACTACTCGTCTCGCACAATATACATCACCAACATGTTAGCGCAGTAAAGCTAGCTAACATTCATTGCTTTCTTGCTACTAGCTAGATAATGTAACTTTAGCTATGTTATGTTTATGTTTACCAAATTAAGCCTTTCATTAATGTAACAATATCCACTTTTTAGGTATTATTACATGTAATTATTGTTACCATTTATCTTTCTTTATATTTTTTTACATTACTGGATTAGAAATTCACCAATGTGTTTCAACTTCAGTCTGATGATTCAATGAACAGGTACATGATTCAACAATGCCACCCATGAGGGTGCTGTGTCTCGTGCAAGTTTAGTTTCGGCCGTGCAAAGCCTGGTTTCATGCAGTACCTGGCCGTACCTTGCAGTACCAGGCGCCATAAATCACAATATGTCATGATCTCATTCTTGGCCTCAGTTCGCCAGGATCTCAGGCCTGGCGTATGTGACTTACAGCAGGTGCCTTGCTTCCATTGTGTAGGTTACGGTTGGCTAGGTTTTGCCTGCACGGCCTGAGCAGCTGTTCTGCTCATGTTGGCATATTGAAAAGGCACATGTTCATAAACACACAGAGTATAAGAATAAAATATGAGTTGGTACATTCTCATTAAACACTCAGTAGTTAAACTTTACACTAAAAGAATAACAGCAGCGGTCAACACCTTTACCCTGTGAGACCACAGTCATTCTTCCAGTGGCTACACTACAAAACACTTCTATACCAACAAAGTGTATAAATGTAGAAAAAAAACCTAACAAACAATCTAGGAATTAGGAATTATTCAACAAGTTTAGTGACATTTCCGACTCCTAACTTGTTTACTATGTTTTATTGTCATCTATTGGACTAAAAACAGGAATGACCAGCCTCACATGTGACTGAATAGAAGATAAATGATGTAAAACGTGTTTCTTGCAGACAGACTCCCTGATTCTCTGACTTTAATTGTCTCCATAATAAAAGTTGATGGGAGAAATAAAAGACAAATAAACCATTCTAATAGCCTAAATGAAGAAAGTTCTGTGTGTGGCTTTTGTTGTTCAGACCTACAGTGAACTCAGATTTTATTTTATTTTATTAGAATTTATATTTTTTCATTAAAAAAAATCAAATATAGCCTTAGACTTTGCAGTGATACACTCGGGTTTAATGTTATCTGTGGTGTTGCATCAGATCAGTCCAATCAGCTGCAGCGTCCAATCACTGTAACAGCTACCAGTAAGGGGGCATGTCGGTCAGTAAGACTTCCACGAAGGAGGATTACAATTAAGATATTGTGTCACACCAGAGGACATGGTTTTCAGTGACAAAATGTATCAAGCTCCTACACTTTTAGAAATATACAACACATTTTACGCTAAAGGTACCCTTCAGCTTCCGTATGAAATGCTCCCATTTGCTACGTTGCAGCAACACAAGGGAGGCTAACCCTAACTGTAGCTGTAGGGTTAGCCGGTCAACATGCATAAAGTCAGTGACTTAGGTTTAGGTACTAACATTTCTGATGCTTGTGGTAAGGGTAGGGGCTTCGGGGGGCTGTCAACACCTTTATCACGAACGTAGCTAGCTAACTAGCACTACTGTACGGGACACCCCGGAGCCAAACGTAGACTCACTGTATTCCGGACATCACGGTATTCCGGACTTGACCTTTTCCCGCAAATTCTATAAATAAACACTTCCAGGTCATGGCATCTATAAATATCAGTGTCATCTTTGCCTCCTCCTCTTTTGATTCCGACCACCCCTTTGCTTCCAGAGCCAGTCGTTTCAAAGAAATCGAGTTTCTAACGTACACCAATGACTATTCAGAAAATGGTGAGGGGAGGGTTTTCCGGCAGGACAAAGGGAAGAGGGGAGAGGCGCACCTCCGCAGCAAACGGCTCTTAAAACATGTTCGCCCACCAGAAAATGACAAAAAAACATTCTTATTGTCTTATAGAATAATTATGAGTTACAATTTGCAAATATTTGGACTTTTAAGGGATATACACGTTCAATGAGGCTCTTTGTCTGACATGAATTTGAGCGGCAGCGGCGCATCACTGCACACTTATTGATAAAACACCAAGTTAAATCAACGTTAATGTTAAATGCTGTTTTAACAGTCATTTCAACACATCTGTGTAATTTCACGTTATCTGGTTACCGTTAAGACAGCACGCATTGTAATAACATGCAATTTAACAACATTTCAAGCCATTAAGTTACTTATTATAACGTTAAGCCATATAAGTAATAATCATAATTTCTATAACATTAAGTTATGTGAGGACCCAATAAAAAATGAATCTAGACTTCATTTATAAAAAGAACTTTTAATAAGAAAAACATGAACATCAACAAAAAACTATGTACAAAAACTATACACTCTCCCTTGTGTGTCCTGATCTCTCTCCCGGCTTCTCTCCAGGCTTCTCTCCCCGCCTGTTAAAAAGAAAAACATTAATAATGCTTTAAAAACACTTAAAGCCATAAGTATAAGAACTCACGAAAGCAGCCGGAAGACTCTGGTCAACCTGGAGACGGGGTTGAGCGTCAACTGGTGGGTCCGCTTCAAAGCTCACCATCCGAAACACTGGACTCCCTTGACAGGGCCAGGGTCCTTGCTGCCACACCTGAGGGAATAGATCACTTTTTCATATTACTTGAAAAAATTATTAACCCCCCCCCCCCCAGTTTCTAACTTGAGCACTCTATCTAGATTGGAAACCTCGTACCCAGTGCAGCCCCTGCGCCCACCTCCTCCACGGCAGCCGCTGCTCCCTCCTCCTCCACGGCAGCCGCTGCGCCCTCCTCTGCTGTTCCCACCTGCTCTACTTCACCTGTCTGCCCTACTTGCAATAGGAGTACAAAAAATTACTTGGTGGAAACTGGCCTCATTCCACAATATTTAGCAGACATCCTGGTCACACCCACCTTTGGCCAGAAAGCAGAAGGGATACGGCGTCGGGTGCCACTGCAAGCCCGAGCGCCTGCAATGGACGATGGCAGCGACTGTGCTATTTGTAAAAACACCTTGCCACCAGGGTCCAACGCAGAGGTGGATGACTGGATCCAGTGCGACCTCTGCCAGCTGTGGTTCCACATGGCGTGTGTGGATGCAGGCACTGTCCCTGACGGAGAGTGGATGTGTCACAAGTGTGGTGTCACTATGTAAATAGATAGATGGATATAGGTAAAAAGATAGATAGATAGATATAGGTAAATAGATAGGTATAGATATATATAGATAGATATAATAAATAGTTTCAAATAAAATGTAAAATAGTTATACACACACATTATTATTATCCATCATCATCTTCATACATTCACACAACACAAATTTCTATATGTACATATCAGTCATAAATTGTTATTGTTAAAATTAAGTTATGTGTTAATGGGTTAATTTAATGTTATCTGTGTTCATTCTGTTTGTTTTTAACGTTAAATTAAATTAAATGTGTTCAATAATTCACCAAATTGGCGGGAGCAGTATTTCTAGCTATAACAATATACTAAGCTGATTTAAAATTCTTAAATATAAAGATAACATTAGAATAAAATGTTATCGACGTCAGTTTTCAGTTGCGCACAGCCATTTTGGACTACCATGTGCTTCACATGGCAGTCGTTGATTAAAAGAGTGTATAGACGCTTATAAATAATAAATATACAACATATGAAGATTAATCATTATTTCACCAAATGTATGTGTTTTATATTAGAAATGACTCCTTCTTACCTGTCCGAAACACAGTGAGTAGAAATTTTCAGCCGTCCGGAACACCGTGAGTCCTCACTGTAATCCGGACAGTGCGTCTCCCGGCAGTTTTTTCAAGATTTCTCCAAAATGATTACTCCGAAATGTGTCAATCAAACTTTGGAACGCGTGGAAGGCATGTCCCCAGAGACAGACAAGCCAATCACGTTGATCTTTCCGTGGATTGATATCTTATGGTACTGTGTAAAGTGTCTGGAACACCGTGAGTATACGTTATCATAGA